AAGAAGAAGTAGGCTGAGCGTGCGACAATGCAGTCAAGGGGAAGGGCGGGCGGGGGATGAAGTGGGATTTTTTGCACCCTACAGGCTAGGGCGCTCTCCTAATTACAAACACAGGTCTACTGATATGAATTTATTACAGAAATCTGTGCTGAGATACCCCCTGATTATATTAAATGCTGATTTTTTTTTTTTAAGTTATTTTATTACGTGACATACTGGGCATACGCGATCGCCCACTACGTTACTCCTGACTCTATGATGTAGGAAACCTACCGCCACCTAGTGACCAAATTAAATTTAAAAAGTATTACATCAGTTTGGATCCCTATTATTAATAAACAGAGGCATTCGAGTTCATTTTTCAGGTCAACCTACTGCGAAGAATATTTGATCGCTATTTTTAACCTGTGATGTTAACCAAAAGTTCTGTTATTTCGATGATACTTCGAATGAGAGGTCTCCCGATATGTTACCGAGTAATTTAATTGACACTGCTATAAACACCTAGTGGTTACTAAAATGTTTAAAACTTTAAGATCAAAGCAGGAGTGAATAGTAACAGAATTATAGATTCTATAAATAGAATACAATCTATTATTATTCACTCCGGATCCAAGTATATCTCAGCCAGTGCTCATGTATGTGCAGGGATTACGTAGTTCTGATAATGGTCGCTCACGTTTAGGGCGCCACATTCGTGGAATCGCATATACAGGTGACAGGTGTGTGTCCTATTTATTCGTTGCAAAACCAATAGCGTTATTAATTAGTCATTGGTGTAGAAGCTATTCTACACACTGGCTCTAGTCAATAGGAACACAACGCGAGGACTGCAATTTGACAACCAATTACAAACGCAATGCAATGCAAGTGCAATAACGACCAGTGTGCGCGTGGTATCTGTCGAACCGTGTCTGTCTGAATGTGGTCTAACTATCTGCTAATCTATTTAATTTGGGCCCCATATTGCCCAAAATAGTGCCACCATACGATTAAAAAGTGTGTGTGTGTATGTGTATGTAATGGGATGGCATGCGATGGGATGGGATGGCATGGCATGGCATGGCATGGGATGGGATGGGATGGGATGGGATGGCATGGCATGGCATGGCATGGGATGGGATGGGATGGGATGCGGTGCAATGGGATGGGATGGCATATGGAATTAATGGCATGTCATGGGATGGCATGAGATGGGATGAGATAGGATGGCATGGGATGAGATGGAATGGCATGGAATAGGATGGATAGATTGATGCATAGATGAATGCATGGATAAATAGATAGTTTGATTTTTTGGGTATTTTTCTTTCAACCAAGCGGTCACCAACTGAGTAACGCCACTGATTTCCCCGGGCAACGCCGGGTATCCCGCTAGTACGTAATATAGCTTGCTGTAGAAGTGAGGGGTGGGAGACTGAGGGACGGTGGCAGGGAAAATAGCTGAGGGACAGTGAAAAAAGAAGGAGGCTGAGCATGCGACAATGCAGTCAAGGGGAAGGGCGGGCGGAGATGAAGTAGGAGTTTTTGCACCCTACAGGCTAGGGCGCTCCCCTAATTACAAACGCAGGTCTACTGCCATGAATTTATTACAGAAATCTGTGCTGAGATACCCCCTGACTATATTAAATGCATTTTTAGCACAAAATATGTCTCCTCTGGTTATATGTCTCGCATGCGCAAAGACTGCAACCTAGACAGATTTTACGCTGGATTGTATATGCAGCGGAGACCTTACATGCAAGGTCTGCTTCCTATTTCTGAAGTAAGGCCTACTGATGGAATTTTATCATATAAATCTATGCTAGGATAGCCCCTCTTCATTTTAAATTCTTAATTTTGGCAAAATACATTTATTTTTGAGAGATATTGCGCATGCGCGAGCCCCATTTCAGGCGTGAAGTACGGCCTACATAAAAGTACGTAATCTAGATTGCTAAATGAGAGAGGGGTGGGAGACGGAAGGAATGCGGCAGAGAAGAAAGCCGAGGGGCGGTGGAAGAAGAAGGAGGCTGAGCATGCGACAATGCAGTCAAGGAGAAGGGCGGGCGGGGATGAAGTAGGAGTTTTTGCACCTTACAGGCTAGGGCGCTCTCCTAATTACAAACACAGGTCTACTGATATGAATTTATTACAGAAATCTGTGCTGAGATACCCCCTAGCCATATTAAATGCATTTTCAACAGAAAATATAACTGCTCTGGTGATATATTTTGCATGCACTTAAACAGTAACGTAGCCAGATTATGTACTGACTGGTATATGCAGTGAAGACCTTACATGCAAGGTCTGTTTCCTATTTGTGAGGTGATGTCTACTGATAGAATTTTATCATATAAATCTATGCTTGGATAGCCCCTCTTCATTTTAAATTCTTAAGTTTGGCAAAATACATTTATTCTTGGGAGATATTGCGCATGCGCGAGCACCATTTCAGGCGTGAAATACGGCTTTCATAAAAGTACGTAATCTAGATTGCTAAAGGAGAGAGTGGTGGTAGACGGAAGGAATGCGACAGGGAAGACAGCCGAGGGGCGGTGGAAGAAGAAGGAGGCTGAGCGTGCGACAATGCAGTCAAGGGAAAGGGCGGACGGGGATGAAGTAGGAGTTTTTGCACCCTACAGGCTAAGGCGCTCTCCTAATTACAAACACATGTCTACTGACATAAATTTATTACAGAAATCTGTGCTGACATACCCCCTGACCATATTAAATGCATTTTCAGCACAAAATATAAACCTGCTATGGTGATATATTTCGCATGCGCTTAAAAACAGTAACGTAAGCCCGATATGTACTGACTGCATGGTATATGCCAGGAGACCTTACATGCAAGGTCCTGCTTCCTTTTGCTGAGTGAGGTCTATTGATAAATTTTATCCATTATAAATCTATGCTAGGATAGCCCCTCTTCCATTTTAAATTCTTAATCTTTGGCAAATAAAATTTAACTTCTTGAGAGATATTGCGCATGCGCGAGCACACCATTTCAGGCGTGAAGTACGCGCACCTACATAACAGTAAAGTAATCTAGATTGGCTAAATGAGAGAGGGGTGAGGAGACGAAGAATTGAAGCGCATGAAAGACAGCCGAGGGCCGGTGGAGAAGAAGGAGGCTGAGCGTGCGACAATGCAGTCAAAGGGAAGACGGCGGGATGAAGTAGGAGTTTTTGCACCCTACAGGCTAGGGCGCTCTCCTAATTTCAACCCAGGTCTACTGCACATGAATTTTATTACAGAAATCTGTGCTGAGATACCCCCTAACCATATTAAATGCATTTCAGCACAAAATATGTCTCCTCTGGGTGATATATACGCGCATGCGCAAGACTGTAACCTAGACAGATTGTGAGCTGATTGTAATGCAGCGGAGACCTTACATGCAAAGTCTGCTTCCTATTTCTGAAGTGAGGTCTACTGATGGAATTTTATGATATAAATCTATGCTAGGATAGCCCTCTTCATTGTAAATTTGAATTTTGGCAAAAATATAATTTATTCTTGGGATGATATTGCGCATGCGCGCAGCACCATT